CAGCAGCAGCAGCAGCAGCAGCAGCAGCAGCAGCAGCAGCAGCAGCAGCAGCAGCGGCAGCGGCAGCGGCAGCGGCAGCGGCAGCAGCGGCAGCAGCGGCAGCAGCGGCAGCAGCAGCAGCAGCAGTGGCACGATCATCATCATCGTCATCGCTCTTGGTTTCTTCGCTGGCAGCAAGGTCCGCATTCAACATCACGCCGTGAGAAAGGTTGGAATTGTGTTTGTCTCCACTATTGGAACGGTTATCTTTGCATGCTCATCTTCAGTATCTTGGCCGCACAGGATTATCTTGCGAAGTGCCCACAGTGCAGCAGCAGCTGAAAGTTCAATTTAGCACAATTGGGGGATTGAGACGGAACTTCACAGAGTCAGCTGTAACCGTGCTTGCGAGGATGGCCTATGTGCAAAGCCTGGGCTTCCGGCAGGAAATTGGAGCTGGCACTTGTGCTCAGAGCAGCTCAGGGAGCTTGCCTTGTTGGGAGTATTCTACTGTAGGTCATCACTAGCAACGAAAGCACGGCAATGTCGGAAGAGCTTTCCAAGAGCTGCAACTCCGGCCGTGAGGAGTCTTTCCTGTGCCGGTGCGGTTCATCACGCCAAGATCCAGGTGCCCCAGCTGTGATCTTTCGAAGGCCTTCCAAGCGCTTGAAAACGCCAGGGCCACATCCCCAGCTACGGCGCCGTCAATGCCGGTGCCGGCTTTTTACGCGGCTCCTGCCAGAAACATGCCAGGATCGTGCCTAATTTCAAAGCAGCGAGTTCTGCATGTCATGACGCCTCCACAGTCACTGCACCAGCTTCCAGGACCCCCATCGTTCGGCGGACTGTCAGTCAGCTTGTAGCAGCGGGGTCAACTGCGGCCCCCAGCTTACGCTGGTTAGGACCGTTGCGCTGCATGTGGCTTCTGTTTCCCCAAGCACCGTGAGATCTGCGGCATTTCTATCGCAAGCAAGCATGCCATAAGCGCCGTCCAGGCTGCAAGTTGACTCTCGTCGTTCGCTAAGGTTCCTCCGTTCCTCGTGCTAATGATGCTAATGATGTCTCACTCCTTCGCCGGATCGGTTTCCTCACTTTGAGCCAAAATTCATCTCATGCTTTCCGAAGTGCTCCGAACTGCTCACGTGAGGATGCTGCTTCAGGTGTCAGAGTATAGACTCCATAAGTTGAGAGCATCGGTTCAAATCGTCATCAGTCATGTCGAGTTCCGCTGTGCTTGCGCAACATATCTGTGTCTACTTAACGAGCTCGCCCGTCCATGAGCTTTTATTGCTCCGACAAGTATTGATTCTTGCTAAGTGAAAACCTCCCACCACCGCCCGCACGAGCACTGCACTGCAGCCCTGTAACTCGATGTTAAAACCTCCTACAAGGCATGCAAGGAAAAGCTAGTTTCCCTGCGTCACCAGTAGATCGAGAGGCCATACGTGGCAGACTGCAGGTCATAGCCACTCAGCCAAAACTGTGCAAACCTTCTAGACAGAGGCGGTCCGTGAAACGATGCAGAGCCGTACTCGAAGCAGTGGAGTCAAGGAGCAACATGAGATTAGTTGGACCACATCTCTGCAGTGCTTGTCGTAATCTTCAGCCAGCCCCATTCACAAAGGTCTTCAGTCAAACCCAAGAAGCGCTCCGGCACACCATGCTGCGATGACCGCGGCTTCCAGCGTCGACTTGGAGCCGGAGTCGGAGGAGGAGGAGGTCCCTGCTGAAGGAAAGGATGGAGAGGCTGGCGTGGAGCCGCCCGAGCCCGCGGAGCCCGCAGAACAGGGAGAAGGAGAAGCGGCAGCCACCGGAGAGCCAGCTCCGGATGAGCTCATGCCTGAGCTGAACCCAGCCGCGGAGCGGCCGGTAGAGCTGGGTGATTCTTTCCTGGACGGTCCAAATGGCCACTTGCGGGCTGAGCTGACAATTGGCGCCTTAACCATGGACGGAGCCCCAGTTCCCCTACTGGTGGAGGCGGATGCGCTCGACGTCACACAAGAGCCCATGGAGATCGAATACGACGACGAGGTCTTGCAACTAGGCCCGGGGCACAGCTTCAGCCCTCGGCCGTGAAAGGTGGAAGTCCTTGCAGATCGAAACATGAGGCGAGCTCACGGACCCCTGGATCCTTCCGGACTACGCCG